TCCAGGCTGCCTGTCTAAATGTTAAGCACACAGTAGGTGCTTCATAAATACCAGTGAGGTGAGGGGTTGTCAGGGCTGTGTGTCAGAGACCCTGGTTCACACCGGGCATACCCCTTTGCTTTGGGAAAGTGGCTTTTGTGAGCTCGTGGGATGGGCAGCATCCATTATATAGTGTGGTCGTGGATTAACGGTGAACAGAAGTCCTAGTTAGGCGGTGGATTAGGACTTGGGTCAGGGAAGAGAAACAGCCGTGGAAACAGGTTCTGACTGTGCAGCCTCTGTTCCCAGAGGCCAGGATCGGGGCTGTGGTACCTGCTGCAGGGACAGTTTTCTGGGAAGCGGGTCCCCCACCATTTGCCACAAGCGAGAGAAAAATCTGTGTTTTCTCAGCACTGCCTTCTACTGGCGCCGTCAGGGTAAATTTTAAAAAGTGTCAACAATAAAAAAATTTAAATTAAAAAAACAACAGCAGCAGCTCTGGCCTGTCCTCTGCGCTTCCCCAATTTCACGTGAAGTGATTTTACTTTATGGCAGCGAGGGCTTCAGCGAGCATCTGCCTGCAGGCCTGCACAGGCGGGCGCCGGGGAAGGATGAAAAATGCAGCCCGGGTTGTGAAATTGACTTCATCAGGCTGTGAAATTGAATGTGAACAACATGATTCATTAAAGACACTGCTTGTGCCAGTGACAGTGTGCTCGCTGCACCTAGCAAGCGACTGGCCGGGATGGCCGGAGGCTCCCTGAGGGCGCGGGGCCACCCCGTCCTCTGTGTCACCTTGCTGGATGCCCTGTGGAGGCTCAGCCCCGGGCAGACCAGATGACCTGGGCCCTCACAGCCTTAATAAAAGGTCGCCCGGGCACCGGGAGCATGCCCTTCAGTGCTGAGTCTACATTGGGCACTAAGACAGGGTAGAAACATGCTCATCAGTGCTTCCTCCGGCCTCCTTTGCAAAGATGAGGAAACCGAGGCTGCTGGAGGTGAGGTGACCAAGTGAGTTAATGATGGATGATGCTAATAAGCACCTGCTGCTTCCCCCTCCCTGATACCTTTGGCACCACGAGTAACGGGAGGAAACCGGATTTGGAGGCAGAGGATTGACGGGAAAGGGACAGGCCAGGAGGCAGGGGCCTGGTTCGAGCCTTTCCTGCACGTGTCCCGAGTGCACACACAGCCCTGAGGTGTAAGTCAGCTGTTAGACCTGGGAAAAGTTACTGTACTTCTCTGAGCCTCAGTTTCCTTTTCTACAAACGGGGGCTAATAATAGCTCCCCGGTAAGGTGGTAGAGAATGGAGAAGGCGCCCCGCAGAGTCCCTGGCCACTTGTGAAGCTCAGCAGTTGTCTGCCTCTTCTCCGTGAGAGCCCCCCAGGTCATGAACAGCATTAGTGGGGAGCTCTTTCTGCAGAGCCCACTAGGACAGTGGCTCCCGGAGGGCGGTCCTTGGACCAGCGGGGTCCACATCACCTGGGGAGGTGGTAGAGATGCATATCTTAGGGCCACCCCTTAGGCCCCTCCCACAGCGGGGTGGGGTGGGGGCCCAGCCTTCTGTTTAACACGCCCTCCATAGCTCTGATGCGGGCTCCTGTTGGAGAACCAGCGCCTTAGGGTTTCACGCTTCACTGTAGAACCATCCAATCCTTCTTTCCCGTGAGAGGATGTAAAAGAAGTAGGTGAGCTTTTTGGAAAAGAAAGAAAATGCTGAGGCCTCAAAACCTAGGTTTGAGGCCCAGATGTGTAAAGTATATGAGGGTAGGCCAGGGGTGGGCAAACTTTTTGACTCGAGGGCCACAATGGGTTCTTAAACTGGACCGGAGGGCCGGAACAAAAGCATGGATGGAGTGTTTGTGTGAACTAATATAAATTCAAAGTAAACATCATTACATAAAAGGGTACGGTCTTTTTTTTTTTAGTTTTATTCATTTCAAACGGGCCGGATCCGGCCCGTGGGCCGTAGTTTGCCCACAGCTGGGGTAGGCCCTGGACCATGTTTCTTAGTGGTTAGCACATCGGTCTGTGCACCGAAGGATCTGGGGTTCAATTCCCCATCAAGGAATTGTACCTGGGTTGCAGGTTTGATCCCCAGCCCCTGTCTGGGCATGAGCAGGAGGCAACCAATCCATGCGTCTCTCTCACATCGACGTCTCTCTCTTCAACTCTCTCTAAGAAAAGAAAATTAATGGAAAAAATGTCGTTGGGTAAGGATTAATAACAAAATGAATTGTATCTTCCTGCATCTTTTATTTGAATATCTTGGGGCATATATGTCCTAGGACATTTGTAGCATACCATAAACCTGTGATTTGCTGGTGTTCTGTTATCTTTAAAAAAAATTTTTGTTTAGCAACTTTTATGAGAAATTCATTTAAGGTATTTCCCAGATGTGTATACCCTTGGAAACATTCCCATAATCAAGATACAAACCATTTTCATCATCCCCAAGGATTCCTAGTGCCCCTTTGTCATTTACTAGTAGCCCTCCCCCTGCTCCAGCCCCAGGCAGCCACACTCATGTGCTTTTTGTTACTATAAATCAATTTGAATTTTACATAAATGGAGTAATACAGTCTGTATTATTTTGTCAATGACTTCTTTCACCCAGCATAATTTTTTTTTGCAATAAATTATATATAACATAAAACTTACCATCTTAACCATTTTTAAGTGTACAGCAGAGGTATTAAATATATTCCTATTGTCGTGCAACCATCGCCACCATCCATCTCTGGAACATTTTTCATCTTGCAATACCGAAGCTCTGTCCCCGTTAAACAATAACTCCCCTTCCTCCCCAGCGCCTGGCAACCACCATTCTACCTTCTGTGTCTATGAACTTGATAGACAGGCACCCGGTGTAAGTGGAAATCACATAGTATTTGTTCGTTAGTGACTGGCTTATTTCATTTGGCCTAATGTCTCCAAGGTTCACCACATTGTAGCAAATGTCAGAATTTCCTTTTTAAGGCTGGAAATATTCCATTATATCCCATTTTGTTGATTCATCCATCTGTCCATGGACACTTGGGTTACTTCCATCTTTGGCGTAATGCTGCTGTGAAAAAGGGTGTACAAATATCTCTTCCAATCATTCCTTTCCATTCCTTTGGGTATATATGTAGTAAAGCTATGTTTCATTTTTTGAGAAACCTCCATGTTGTTTTCCATGGTGGCTGTACCATTTTACATTACATTTTAGACAAAGTTTTTTGTTGGACCCGCTTCTTGTTCTGATTATCCCTTCACTTCTCAGAAAACCTCTACCCCTCATGGCCCTGCATGATGATCATCTTTTCCTTCACTATCCGCAGCCCCTGCCTTTCCAGTCCCTTCAGACGGAAGGAATTGCTCAGGGAATTGCTTAGCCATCGTAACCCTGAGTAAAATGGCACTGCTCACTTTCTATTAGCTGTAGGCATTTCCCTCTGTGTTCTACACATTTTTCATTAGCTGTAGTTATTATATACCTCACCAATGTCTTATTAACAGCTAGAGGCCTGGTGCACAAAATCTGTACACTTGTGTGTGTGTGTGGTGGGGGGGGCGTCCCTCAGCCTGGCCTGTGCCCTCTTGCATTGAGGGAGCAGGCCTAAGCCATTAGTCGGACATCCTTACTGTTGCCGCGGAGGCAGGAGAGGCTCCCGCCACCACCCCTGCGCTCACCAGCTGTGAACCCGGCTCAGGGCTTCTAGCTGAGCGGTACTCCCCCTTTGGGAACGCACTGACACCAGGGAACAGCTCCTGCATTGAGCCTCTGCCCCCTGGTGGTCATTGCACTATTCAGTCGATTTGCATATTAGCCTTTTAATATATAGGATTATATAGGATATCATGATACACTACCTATATCCTGTTACTCCATCTATTATACCATCTGCGTAGCAGGAAGAGAGCCTGCCTCCTCCCTACTCCTCCCCTGCCCCCTCTCTGCCTGCCCCTCCCTGTGTGGTAGCCACATCACAAGATCCCTGCTCCTTGGAAGACCTGTGATGTTCACACTTCAGGTGGTCTCTCTGGTAGCTCATCCCTGGCCCTTTCCGTCTAACAAATTCTTATCCCACATGGTGCAGTTTAACTGTGCTCTGTACACGTCATTGTCTAGCACATATTACATGGCTCATAAATCCAAGTGGTATGTGTCTTTTCGAAGCTAGAGTGGGAGCACCTGTGATGGAGGACTAGATCTTTCTATTTTGGGATCTGGTATCCTCCATAGCACCTCTGGCTCTCCAAAGCCCCCATAAGTGTTTTAATAAGTAAAACATGTAGAAGACATGAAGATCATTCAGCAACAAATACTCAGCAGACAGAGCTGTTAATTAAAAGAAGGAGAAAGGAAAGAGCCGTCCGATATTCTAAGACAAGTACTTGTAGAATGAACCATTAAAAGGTGTGAGTTTTGAAAGCAGATGTTTAATTTAGACTCTCCTGTGTGCTTACCAATGACACTTAATTCAAAATAAGGGTCAATCTGTATTTTGAGATTTACTATGGGTCTCATGGACTGTTGTCCTTTTAAAACATTTTTTAAAATTTTTATTGATCTCAGAGAGAAAGGGAGAAGGAGCTAGAAACACCCCCTCCTGGTGATTGAGCCTGCAAACTGGAAATGTGCACTGATGGGGAATTGAACCTCGACCTCCTGGTTCATATATTGATGCTCAACCACTGAGCCACACCAGCAGGGCATGTTGTTCTTTTTTTTTTTAAATTTTTATTATTATTAACTGCTTTAGTTTTCTAAGTATGTATTCTTTAAAAGCGTGTCCTATTTCTAAACACGATTTGCATTTGTGCTAGCACCCCCCTCATTTCATGCTGACCCCAGTGGGAATGTAAGGTTCAACTTTCTGGCATTCCAGTTAGAGCAGACTTTGCAGGAGGCATGTGTCTTAATGGGTAAACTGAGGCCCATGCTGTTTCTTGGGTTAGAGGATAATTTGCATCTGTGGGAGGTCCCACCCCAGGCATTTCTAACTGCTCTTTCATCTCTCTCCTCCCCCTGCAGGCTGGCCGTGGGTGACCCTCTCTGTCCTGGGATTCCTGTACTGCTACTCCCACGTGGGCATTGCCTGGGCCCAGACATACTCCATGAACTAATGCCGCCGGGCCCAGGCCAGCCCTTGCTGTTGGCTTCCAACGCAAATGGTGCTTCTCCCTGACCTCATGCCCCAAGATAACCTCCAGGGGACCAGAGCTTGATCTGCTCTTTGGTTGAAGTTACTTCCAAGACCAGAAGCTTGTGACTCGACAACCAGAGAGTCTTCTAACTTTGGGAACCTAGAATTGCCTCCCCCACCATCATCTTCCTGCTGCATGAGCTGGGTCCAGAGCAGCAGAGTGTCTCGCCCAGCTGCACATCGTGACACTGAGGGCCCAGACCCAAGGCCCGTTGGGTTCTTTCTCCTTTACCACGAATTAAACGCAATGGACATTTCTTGATTGAGACACAGCAATCCTGACTAGTGACAGGCCCGCCCTCCACTGGCCAGTATTTCTGAAACATTTACGAGAACCTGCCCCATGCCCTGCAGTGTGATCTCTGGAACCAGCGCTGGGGTTCGAGCTACACCTTTCCCCTCCTCTGCAGGGAGGCGACAGTCGCAGCTGTGTTTCTGATCCCCCAGAAACGTAGACAGAATATGCTCTGTCACGTTCCAAGGAGTCGGTACCCAAGGGGACCTGCTATTTGAACTTCCTCGGGGCAATCTCCACTTGGCGGCTTCTTCCCCAGATGTGTAGAGAAGTGCAAACAGGCAGTGCCTCCACTCGACAGTGAATCGTTCCACATGGAGAAGCAGCATTTCAGAGCCAGGGAATAACGATCCGCAGGCCGGTGCTACCAGGCAAGTGACAAAGGGTAAGGATGGCTTCCCGTGTCTCTCCTCTCTCCACGCCAGTCCCAGCGTCATCTCCCCACTTAGCGGTTTACATTCGTGGTTTACTCTGTTTTGTTTCAAATAAAATGGAGCTTTTTCTATCACACAGACAAGTCACTTTTTTTGTAGAATTGTTTAAGAACAGGGGCGGGAACGTCCGGCCCACAGTCCATGCAAGGCCCTCAACATCATTTTTGGTCTGGCCCTGCCAAGGCATTTAAGGGTGAGTTAATGAAATGTTTGACCAAATATAGCAGGCTAATTTTTTTTTCTTTTTTTAATTTTATTATTTATTACAAAGGATATTACATATGTGTCCATATTTTCCCCCCGCCCAAGACAGTCCCCTAGCCTCCCCCATCCCCCAGTGTCTTATGTCCATTGGTTATGCTTATATGCTTGCATACAAGTCCTTTGGTTGATCTCTTACCCCCCTACCTCCCGCCCCCGAACCCTCCCCGGCCTTCCCGCTGCAGTTTGACACTCTGTTTGAGGCAGCTCTGCCTCTGTATCTATTATTGTTCAAAAGTTTATAATGGTCAATTATCTAATTTTTAAGTTGATAATTTTGTATGGCCCTTGGTGGAAGAAAGGTTCCCCACCCCTGGTTTAGAATATTTTTTGAGGAAAATGTTTACAATCTACACATACTTATATAACTCTTAATTCTTCACTTCTCTGGCAAGATGCTGACAGGCTACTCATGGCCCCACGTGGTAGAGCATTCAGAATGCTTCTGTTTGGCTTTGGATGTTTTTGAGAGGGCAGCGGGGAGGGGTGTTGGGGTTGTGAACAGGCTTTTAAAATTTGGATCCATAGTGTACCCAATTATGGGAGAACGTCAGACATCTCGGGCACATGAATTAAATCCTCACGAGGTTCACTTGGTCCTGGTCTGTGTCACACTGTCCCTGTGTACTGGCTGTGCTTATAACTCACTGAGCTGTAAACTCCTAGCGTGATGGACCGGTCATCTCGCGGCGTCCTTTCTTCCTAGCCCCTCCGTTTGGAAGAGGGAGGGAGGGGCCAGATGTGGATGAGCTGAGGTGGGCAGCAGCAGAGGGCGAAGGCTGGGGGGCCAGGCAGTCAGGGCAGCAGCGGCCTCAGCAGCTGGCTTGGTACAGGAGGGGGATAGGCAGGCGATCCCAAGGTGCTGGGTACTTTTAAGGAGGGCCTGAGGCTGAGGAGTGAGCACTCAAATGAATACAGTAAAACTTCATGGACTGACGCTGATTCGGGATTTGTGTGGTCAGTCAGAGGGAGTTGGGCTGAAGTTTACATGAAAGAAAAGGGATTTTTCCAAAGGGGGGAAAGGGGAGTGTGATGATGATTATAAGGAAGTGTATGTACATGTATAAGTCATAGGAAAGATTTTGAACTCTTCAGAGAGACTATTTATATTAAAAAAAATAGGCTTGTTCATTCTTTATGTTGGAATATATTTGAAAGTAATAATCCTGAATTTGTTTTAAGCTATTACATGATTTAGCGCGGTTCTCAGGAGTTATTAAGTGATTACTGTGTTGAGCTGTATATTTGAGGACCGATTAGCCGATATGTCAATTATGCCTAAACTTCTTGCTATTCCCCAGCTATCATATGAAAATGATAACATACCTCTCTTGGTGCAAGTGAACTAAAATCTCGGCGTTTCTTTAAATGAAAGACTTGAGGTGCCTGGTCAGGCCGTAGTTTCAGCTGAGGAATATCTGGCCAGTCACGTTTCGTAGTCGTCAGCCCTGGCAATGTCAAGGCGTAGGCTGGGAAACGGCTAGACAAGGCCCCAAGGCCACTCCCCGCCCCAGGACCCTTTGACCCCAACCTCGCAAAAGCCGAAGCGCTCCAAGCACGATTGCCAAGGCCATCCCCAAGGAGGCAAGCAAGACATCTGAAGGACAGCCAGATCTTAAATCATTTTGACTAATTCTTGGGGCCACACAAGAGACTTAAAAGTATCGTATTATTTCTTCAGATTAATTTGTTTGAGGTGACAGCAGAAAAACCTTTTTTCTATTCAAGACTGCAGACCTAGAAAAAAAAATCAATCATAATAATTTTATACTGATCTATATGTTGGGAGAATAGTAATTTAGTGGGAGGGGGTTCCCCTTAAAGAAATGGATACTGCTCGCTTGCTTATTTAAAATAATGACTATAAGAAATTAAGCAGAATGTAATGAGCTGGTTTTCTGGCAAACAGATCCATTTAGTAGGGCCACTATTACAAGCAGCTTATCCTAACGGGGCGGCCTCTCTCAGCATGTCAAGAAAGCTCACTGAGGCCTTTCTTTCTTTGTTTAAAATACGTTTTTATTGATTTTTAGAGAGAGAGGGATAGAGAGATGGAAACATCGATGAGAGAGAAACATAATTGATTGGCTGCCTCCTGCACGCCCCGGGGGATGAGCTGGGGATGAGCTGCAACCTGGGCATGTGCCCTGACCAGGAATCAAACCAGTGACCTCTTGGTTCATGGGTCAATGCTAAGCCACTGAGCCACACTGTCCAGGCTCTGAGGCCTTTCTTTTGACTAATTATAAAAATCATATTCACAGAGATTTTTTTTTTGTCTTCATTGAGGACATCTAAAGAACGTAATGTTTACTGCTTTATTAGGGGAGATTTTTGGCACGAATACCAATCATTTGAAATTTTAAGCAATGTACCCTTACATTATTTTTATTATGCTTTTTTTTTTGCAATTTAATTAAATAACAGGGTGTGGGGAAGAATGCCATTAAAGATACTGGATTCGTTCTGTGGCCTTATGAGATCAGGCAGAGGCCTGAATACGGCTTGCAGACCACAGAGGGCTCACCCCCTGAAGTTGTGCTGTCTGTGAAAAGAAAAGTGCCCCTGTTGAATCGTGGTCCGTTGGTATTAAGAAAGAACTCAGGTTGGCAGTGTTGTGGAGAACCTTGCCCTGGGCAGGAAGCCATGCCTATTAAAACCAGAGCAGGGCAGAAACAGCGCTGGTGGAGGGCTAATTTAGGGCCACGCAGCCCTCTACCCTCGTAGCTTCTGAGAACATCAGTGAGTGAAAGCACAGGTCAGACTCGTTCTGTCAGCCTGTCCACACCGAGTCACTCTGAAAAGATTCAGGTGTGGTGTCTTTTTACACTATATTTTAAAAGGCAGGACAGCATTCATATATCTTATACTACAAATTTCAATCCAAATTGTTCAAAATAAAAAAGTACATTTCTCAGTGGAGGTCAGTTTCAGATAAGTGTTAAGTCAGTGTGCTGTGCCATAATTTTCCAGTGACACAGGCTTTGAAGACGTCTCTGTAACAGGTAGGACACAGCTCTACTTCAGGTCATATTGCAAAGCCCCTTCACAACTGTTCACTTTGACACACAATTTTGGTGCCTCTAGATTTTTTTTTTTTTTTAAATCCTCACCCAAGGATATTTTTTCCCCCCTTGATTTTTTAGAGTGGGAGAGGGAGAGACAAAGAGAAACATCCATGTGAGAGAGACATCGATTGGTTGCCTCCCACACACACTGGGGATGAAGCCTTCAGTCCAAGGGGCGATGCTCTAACCACTGAGCACCCCGGCTAGGACTCCAGAATTTTAAGTTCTCTAAAACCCACAATTGTAGGTGCCTCCAAATTAGAGCTTTCCAAGTTCTCGAAAAGGAGTAGGAAGTATCATTCTTGTTCTGTCATTTTAGGTACGAACACCCAATTGAAATTATCTAAGGAAAGGCAAGAGTAAGTGTCATGTATAAAATAGTTTATTACCATAATAAATAAAATTAAACATTTTTTTTACAAATATCATTTGTGCTTGTTTAAAAATGTTGAGAAGGGAATATCATCAGTGGAGGGACCCAAATGTTCCTCTTAACATTCCCAAGTTGCAGACATACAAGGGAGTTCCTGGCAGCATCCTCCACCTGCCACAAAAATAGTATCGGCTCATTTGCACTAGTGTTTCTTCATGCTCATTTGGACAGAGTGACAGATGCCAAGGAAAAAGAAAACCCAGTGCAGGATTTGGCAGGACTCAATGAAAAAAAAAGTGTTAATCTAAGGAGAAGCCCCAGGATGACAAACTGCCCATGAGTAGGTGTCCTTGCAGTGTTGGCAGGATGTCGGATGGGGACAGTCCCAACTGATGCAGAAATACAGCGTCTGAATATTAAGAGAATACATTCATCGGGGGCGTTTGAATCTTTCTCAACACAAAGGTAGTTCGTATCCTGATACAAGACCCGTGAGCTTCTCATTTGTACAACTAATGGATCCAGAAGTCACAGAGAAAGAGACAGTGGCTCTAGGAAGGGTTTGATGGTGGGCCAGGAGGGCCCCCACCGGTCCGGCACCTGCAGGTTATTCAAGTCCAGTTCTAGAGGTTCCAGAATGAGTCTGAGAAGCTCGCGTGAAGAAGTTTCATGTGAAACTAAGCTTCAGGCAAATTCACATTGAACTTCGGGGCGTGGAAATGAAAACTTCTCCACAGGAACACCTTGGTTCTCAAGAAAATGGTGATTTCTCTGACGGCTGCCATCGGTGCTGAGAGGACACTGAAATCTCCTCCAGTTGGAGGGCACAAGAGCTGGTGAAGGTAATTTTTACCGAAGCGAGCGAGAAGACAGTACAATGATTTACACAGAAGAGAGGCTGTCCGGGGCCCAGTGGGCCCGCAGTGGGCCTCCTCTTTAAGCAACGCTATGTAAGAGGGAAGAAAGGGGAAGGAGTGTTGGCAGCTCCAGGAGAGTTGGAGTTCCATTCAAGGGTCTTAAGGCTAAAAACATCGTTATTGCACTTCGTCAAATGCACTTCAATTCGCATCTCCACCCAGGATTTCCCAGAAGGTGCACAAGGGGAGGCAGGGTTCTTCCTAC